ATGGATGAGTCTGTCTGGGTCTGATTTAGACTCTGTTCCTTTATTTTTCCTCTCTTAAGAACCTGTTTGTGGAATATTCTCTATATTTAAACGGCATTTTATACTTTTCTCTGACTTCAGTTTAGTTTAAGGAACATCTGCATCAATGTGAAATTTCCACGACAACAGTCTGTTTACAGTAAGAAGAGATCACTTATAGGGATAAAATGAATTAAATCAGAGCAAAGCAAAAAACAACAAAAGTTATTATGGAACACGGAAAAAAAAACAAGTGTTGAAATTTCAATTTAAAAAGGTACAGCAAAAGCAACAAAAAAAAAACAGATTCAAAAAGAAAGAAAGAGAGAAACCTGTTTTAAAGTCTGATCCAGTTCATAGATCAGACTGTCTGGGTCTGATTTACACACTCTGTTCCTCTGATTCTGGATGTTTTTTAGACGGTATAAAGACAAAATTTTGTACTTTTTCTTGCTTTGATTTGATATTTTTATGGTGTCAGAGTGAAAAATGGCGTTGTAAGGTCACGATAACATCAGTAACAGGTCAGTTTGACACGAAAGACCCCCAAAATTTAGTATTAGGGTCAGGGTTAGGGCTAGGGTTAGGGTTAGGGTCATTAATGTGGGCCACCATAACATCAGTAACAGGTCAGTTTGAAACCAAAGACACTAACCTGTCAAAATTCTGTTAAATTTTTGTTTTTATCCTTGTGGTATCGAGTATAATTTTTTTTCCTGAGTATCGGTATCTAGTTGAAAGGCCTCTGGACCTCTGGAGCTGAGCCTGGTTGTGTGTCTGTGTGCGCAGGTGCTTTGTGAGGATGTGACCAAAGCCGACATCGAGGCGGTGATCTCTGACCTCCTGCGGCTCTACGACCTGGAGGCCAAATGCATCTGACCACTCAAATATGCAGCACCCGCAGTACCGCCTCCGGCCACCGGGGGGAGACATTTCCCAGTTTATGGACGATCCCTCTCTCTCTCCATTCTGCTCATTTCCTGCTCTAAACACAACCCAGAGGCCTCCACTCCATCAGGAAATACACAGAAACGACACCTCAGGTGTTCTGGATCCTGATATTTATCCTTTAATTGAAGGAAGAAGAAGTTTTAGGCCATAAAGGACCTGAAACTGTGTCTGAGCAGCCCGTTCTGACTCAGATTTGATGGGACTCGGCAGCTCTGGATCCTCCCGGTTAAATAATCCGTTGTGTTTTTGTAGGTCAGCCGTTAGTGGGGAACCAGCTCATGAATTATGGTTTGAATCTGGTGGTTTTATTAAAGTTTTACCGGCTGGCTGTGACGTGAAAGGGTTCACAGGAGGGTTTTCCAGCTCTGTTTCCAGAGAGGAAAATAAAAAGAGTTTTTGTATTTTTTGTCACATCTGTGATTCAATGAGTGTTTCGTTTTGATTTTGTACCAAAGTTGCTAAATGAACCTCCTCCTGGAGTGTGTTTTTTCTCGTTAAAAGCCCGGAAACGGCTCTCTGGTGATGCGTAATGGCCGCCCGGTGGAGTCTGGTCTGTTTAAAAATGCATTTGCAGGTTTTTTGGAAAACGGCTCGTCTTTTTGGGGAAACGGAGCTCCAGAAAAACCGTCTCTGACCGATTCCCAGTTTCCCACCAGGATAAAAACATTTTACATTCATCCAGCCACTTTAACCCAAAATATTTATTCATCACAACTAGTTAGCGTTAAGTTAGGTCAGGGTTAGGGTTAAGTTTAGGGTCAGGGTTAAGGTTAGGGGTTAGGGTTAGGGTCATTAATGTGGATTAGAGTCAGGGTTAGTTTTATGGTCAGGGTTAGTTTTAGGGTTAGGGTTAGGTTCAGGGTTGGGGTTAGGGTTAAGGTTAGGGTTAAGGTTAAGTTTAGGGTCAGGGTTAAGGTTAGGGGTTAGGGTTAGGGTC